TCGGCCGCGCTCCCTCCTCGGCCGCGCTCCTTCCTCGGCCCCGCTCCCTCCTCGGCCGCGCTCCCTCCTCGGCGCAGCTCCCCCCTCCGCCCCGGCCGCCCGCCCGCAGAGCCCGCGCCTCACCACAGCACTCGCAGGAACAGCTCGAAGATCCCCGGGAAGACCAAGTCGTCGCTGGCGATGGCCCAGCGCCGGCCGAACAGCACCATCCCCGGCATGACGAAGACCCCACCGCCAAGCCTGGAACCAGCCGGCCAGACTGGCCCTTGTGGCCCCTGGGAGCTCCAAGCCCTCGGGTCTCCGCCTCCAGACAGAGACACTGCGCAGGCGCAGGCGCACTGATCACCACGCGGCCGCTGCGCCTGCGCAGACGCGCTGAACCGAAAGATGCTGGCGGACTTCTCAGGGTCTTCGCACGTGTGGTATCTATTCTACTATTTTCATTTTATATATAAGGACTCTTCTTGACGGAGGGGTTAGCCAGGCCAGAAACCCCCGGTAGTTCATGGCGGCTCTGGGGCCACCCAGGTCTCTGGGACTGCAAGCCTGTGACGAAGTTGTCCCCGCCGCCCCGCCTCGGTCAGCAGGGCTGCATTAGGACACTTCCCAGGTTCTGGCCTGAAGCCACACTCAGCTTGGGGCTGGGGAGTAGGGAATAGCCTGATCTACAGTCTTTCCTACCAAACAGGCCTTTGCTTAGTGCCATGCTTCTGACCACTTCTCAGCCCCTCCACTCCCCTCCACCCGGTCCGAGCCCCGTTTATCCCATGCCAGGCCTCCCCCATTCTGCCCTGCCTCCCCCTCTACTGTGCGTTCCCCCTATAGCAGCTGGGATGACTTTGCTGAACCCCCAGACCAGGCCCATCAGCTTAGTCTTGCAAGGCTGCACTTCGTGTATAAAATAGACCCCATCCCCTTGCAGGATCCTGTCTCTGGTTGTCACACAACACAGGTATGTAAATATGTGGTTATCTGCTCCCTGGGTTAAGCTACTACTTTCTCCCTTCTCGTCACTGCTTGTCGCCTTATTTTCTCCCCTGATATACATCAAGCTTACTCTTGCCCCAGAGATTTTACAATTTCCGTTTCCTCTGCCAGGGATTGTCCTCACGCCGGTATTTCCACATCATTCTCTCACTTCATTCAGGCCTCAGGTCAAGTTTAACCGCCTTAAGAGCCTTCCTTGGCCACTTGACCTAAGAGAGCCCACCCATCAGATCCCAGTCCCATGCCAGCTTTCGTTTTCTTCATAGCACTTAATCAATGCCTGACATTATTTCATGTGTTTATTACCTCTTCTCCCACCTAGAGCGTGTAAGTCGCATGAACTTGGGAAGCTTGTCCGTCTTGTTCACCTCAACGCACACAATAGAGCACATTGTAGGCCCTTACTAAATACTTGAAGAATGAACGAACTCATTAAATGTCAAAACTTTTCAAGTTTGAAGCGTTTTCTAAAGGGCAGAATTTGAGTTAAAAATAATAAATTGTATTGATGGTTGTGAAAATGATAGAGAATTGTAAGTAGGGAAGTTATGAGGATTTTATAGAAAAGAGAACCATTCAATCATTCATAAAATAAATATTTATGGGTCATTTGTGCGACTAGAAATGACTTAATCAGAGAGGTCCGGGAAGATGTCCCTGAAGAAGATACTAAAATGAGATCTGGAGAGAGAGTAGGAATTAAGGTGAAAGGGGGTGACTCAGAAGTTAGAAGGTTGTGCCTGGGATCACATATATTCTTAAATGTAAGTTTCTTTTTGAAAACAGGATAAGGCTTAGCAATAAGATAATGCTTCCAGTAAACTTGTTAGTAAAAAAGATACTGTGAACTTAATGTTACAAATGATAACAAACCATAAAACTATGTAATTTCAAAGAGGTGGTATATAAATTTTTTAAAGATAAATGTATTTTGTATAGTTCTAATCACTGCAAGTATATTCTACCATTTCCATGTAACATTATTCCATTGGTTGAATTAGACCTATTTTAAAACTGTATTATGCCATTATTTGGGTATGTCATACAAAGCAAATGTGTCCCCTTATTTTAGACACAGATTCTTTTTCAATTTTCTGCTGTGAAAAATAGCTATTTTTAAAAAGGACTTCATCCATTTTCAAGTTTATTTCTGACACATAGAGAAATGGAGAAATCAGTTTTCATACTGTAAGGAATGAACTAAAAAGCGTCCCTTTCTGTGTCTAAGTTTTCAGTTTATAAAAATGGACATTATTTCCTCCTAGAGAATGAATAAGTTGATTAGTTTTTAAAAAACTATTTTAAGTAGTTTTTAAAATATCAATTTAAAATAACTATTTTTGTTACTTCCAAAATGAAACATCCAAGTCAAAGCATAGCTCTTGAAAGGGTGAATGACCTATAATGACTTTTAAATGATGAAAAACTTCAGATACAGAGATGTCTATAACTGAAGACCCACCATCCAGATTTAACAAGGGGTCACATCCTGCCGTATTTGCTCCATCTTGAATTTTGGGGGAAAAAAGATCCTTGATATTCCCCTCTGCTTGTTCTTTCAGGTTAATTTCACTATTTGCAAATAATAGTAGATATTCTTCAGAGATTTCTCAGCATCTAATTTTATCTTCATATTAACTTGGAGAAGCTGATCTTTATTCTTTGTTTTTCCAAACTGATTCATATCTTCCTTTCTCCCTTTAGGACTTGATCTTCTTTGATTTGAGCAAATCCTTCTGTTCTGAGTAAGATTAGTATCTTTGCACTCATTGTTTCTGCTGTTGTCTATGTCACAAGTGGGTAGGGGCTTTAGCCAGGTGATCTTTCAGTCAGTTGGACAGTTGTTTCTCCAAGCACTCTTAAAGTCCTGAGATTTTTCAGTTCTCAGAACTTGGAACAAATCACTTTCTTAGTTCCAGGGCACATGTTTTCCTATTACAGAACTAGAAATCTTTTTTTTTTTTGGTAACCTGTATATTTTGACAATTACTTTTTTTTAATTTAAAAAAATGTTTTTGGGGGGATGTAATTAGGTTTATTTATTTATTGTAATAGAGGTACTGGGGGTTGAATCCAGGACCTTGTGCATGCTAAGCACACTTTCTACCAAGCTGTAACTTTCCCCCTAGAACTAGAAATCTTATGAATAAATAGGTTCTATATTTCCATTCTGTTTTGGTAATGGAGTCAAGTGTAGTGTAACGTTTGCTTGAAGACTCACTTCGTAAGTGCCCAAGTCCAAACTAGGTCAGAAATCTGGAGTATTATGTTCCAGTAGTATAAGAAATATCTTTGTCATTGTTTAAAAGGATTAGTGCTATATCATGCCACAAGTAGCTTCTAAACTGCAGGGATACGAGAGGGAATTGTTTCAGAACTGGAGGAGAAACACCCCTAGCACCTGCATAATACTCCACTCCAAAGGCTAAGCCAGATCAGCTTGGTGGGGAGAGGACAGCACAGGTTCCTTGGAAAGTCTACATCCAGCCACTAGAGGGCGAAGCACACGGAGAAAAACCCACGTGAGCCCCAGTCCAACCAGCCTTCATTAGCTCTCACTCAGATGCGTGGTTTTGTAAGGTTCTTGGGGGTCTGTTTCTAGAGGCATTCTCTCCCAACAAGGGCAAAACTACCAATGTCATCACGTGGGCCAGAGGAACTCCAGCCAGAACGGGTTCTGGCCAGCTTTCAAGGCTGCTGTCCCAAGCTAAGCACAAAGGGAGGGGGAAGAGGGTGCCCAAGGCGCTGAGCACCTTCTGTGCACCAAGCTGCACCTCCCAAATCCTGTGGTGGGAGTCCCTGCTCATCACAGAGCGGGAGCAAGGCTCACACTAAACTCATGGTCAGAGCTACAGTGTGGGGAGCCAAGACCCCTAACACAAGTCTGTCCCACAAACCACTTAAGATTTCTACTGAAATAGAATCTTTGCTTGACCTTTCCAGGAAATTGTTTAACCTGCTGGCATCTTCAGAAAGGCTGGGCTGGATCTTCCCCAGCAAGGCCTTCTAGCTGCCACTTTGTTTCCTTCACCCATTTCTCTTTGGCCAGACTGTGAGGAAGCAGTAAATGTTCTTCAAATTCTGTAACTGATCCGGACGAAGAATGGATTGGTGTCTGTAAGCAAGTCAACAGCCAGTAGCTTTTCGCAGTTTTTTAGTGGGCAAATTTGTTCACTTTGCTTTATTTCTCTTTATGCTTACATTCAAAAAACACACACAAATAAATCAGCTTGGTGAAAAATATGAATTACCTGATAACCTTTATTCAGGAAGTGAAGTAATTCTGAAACAGTGCTTTGTGATACAACGCCTTTGTTTCCAACGTGGCAAGGACTCTGCCCCAGCCCTGCGCCCCCGCCTCAGGCGCCTGCTAAGATGTCACTGTGGTGGGCCACAGGTGGTGGCAACATCTCAACCAACTCTGTCTTCACTTGGGCAGAATGACTGGAGGCATTGCTACTTCATAGATCAGGTGGTGTGCCGAGGTCCAGATCCTTACCCTATGCAGGGTGCTCTCCAATGAATGATCCCAGCTTGTGTTTGAGTTACATGCACAAAATCATGTGTGAGCCCCCCACCCACGCCCAGTTTGGGCAGCAAGGAGTCTCCTTCACTTATGACAGGATTTCCCACCCTTCCTGCACGCTATCAGAATTTTCCAAGGAGGATAAAAACAGAAACTAAACTGAGACTAGGATGCCAGAAAGAGACTCTGATACACAAAAGCAAAGACATGAGGCAATGCAGGGGAAGCAAAACGAGAGAAAGATGGGAGGTTAAACTACACTGCCTATTTAGAAAGATGTTAAGATAAAAATAAAACCCATCCAGCGCCCTTCCTCCACAAGATATTTTAATGTAGCAAGCAAAAATACTACATCCTTCTTGTAGTAAGCACTGTTAGTATTCAACACTTTAACAATGGTGCATCACATAAAAACAAAGTCATATGCTTTTGCATAAATCAAAAAAACACTGCAAATTAATTTAATGGCAAAATCAGGAGGAAAATTCCAATTTTCCACAAAACGCAGAAAGTTTTAGATTACTATGTGGAGGACAAATGTCTGCAGCCCTATACAGAGCTCTTGTTGCCAACTGAAGAAAAACCCATCCTGATGTAGGATGTTCCAAAAGCCTAATTCGTTAAAAAAAGACAATTTATTCTACGTTTAATAAAATGTTTATTTAGGATGGTAACACAAGATAAATCATGCAAGAGCTCAATAAAAACAACAAAAAATTAAAAAAGTAAGAATAAAAGGAATGGCAATTGGTGCTGCCAATTAAAATAAAGGAAATCATTTTACTGTCCAAGAGTAATATGGAAAACAGCCTGAATCTGAGCATGGACATGCTTGTAGTAATCTTCTGGAATTTTAAGTTAAAATGACAGGTAACGTTCCATTCCTCAGAGGAGTCCTAGATCCAAAATAATCATCAGTGTCTCCCACACACACACTGAGATGGCAAGCAGCCCAAAGCCCCTGCCCACCGAGTTCTTTGACACCACTGGGACAGTCTCAAACTGACACTTCTCAGTAGGGGAGGAGGGCAGGCACCTTTGGTGACTCTTAACTGAGACTCCATCTACATTCAGAATCTTAAAATTTCGGTAATGAAAAACCTAAGACTTGCAAGTCATCCTTACCAGCCTTAAATGTAGTGTTGTGACATCCAAAGAAGGATTTCCACGTCAGGTGAGAAGAAATTTGAACAGATGTACCAAATCGGACATACTATCTCAGATTTCAAACAAAGATAATTCATCTTTTGGCAAAAAAATAAATATAGTGGAATGCAGTTTGAGAGATGGAAGATACATAACCTTCCAGCTGTCAAGGAGCACAATTTCATTGCAGATACAAGGAATCAACAATTTCAAAGAATTAAAAAAAAAAAAGTTTGCACTTATTCCTCACAAAATCTTCACTTTTAGAACTACCCCAATTGAAGCTACACACTGAATTTATTAATACAGCATTGTTTCTTTGTGTAAAAAAATCTTTGTACATAGTAATAAAAAAAGATAAGGCAAGATGCATTAAACAGAAACCTTCTGGTTCTTTCCCTCTGGGTTCTTACAGAGCCACTGATGACTATCTGCAACAAAAGAGTTAAGTTTCTGGTTTTCCGTCTCAAGCATCTTGTGCCTTTGCTGTGGTAAGAATTCCGTCCGAGCACCCTGAAGGACAGAGGCTGCTGATGGTCTTTGGCACTTACGCTGGCAGACTGAGCTTCTTTCCCTTGAGTACTGGAATTTTAAAGAGAGGAAGAGAAAACAAAAGGTTACTGATCCTGACAACCTTACAGTTTCCTTCTTCCCATTCCTAGAAGTCTGTCACACAAGATATTACGAGTGAGGTTCGAGGAAACAAGCTCTTGACAACCAACAGTCACCTGACTTTGGTGTCAATAAACAAAGCCCTCTGAACTGTGAAAATGTCATGCACACATGGACTGGAATCTTCTTCATGTATTTGGACATCACAGCAATTGAATTTAAAAATACTAATTCGGTTGAAATCGTCACCTAATTCAGCTTTTTGTTATGACTTTCTCCTCTAATCAACATATACTGTTATGAAATTTTGGATGTTAAAGAGGTAAGATACAAATGCCCTTATACCTCGCAATTCCACCACGAGGAATTTTACTGTATAGCAAGCATCCTTAGCCTGGGATCTGTGGATGGGTTTCAGGGCCTCCTGAATTCTCTAAAACTGTATGCATATGTTTGTGTGTGTATGCGTAAGTGTGCATTTTTTTCCCTAAGGAAGGACTATGGCTTTTTTTGTCAGATTTTTTGTGAAATTCATATGTCCTGTGTTCATATAAATGCAAGGATGCTGATTTAAGCACTAGAGTTTAAGAGCAGCAAACCAGTAACAGCCCAAATACCCATTAAAAAAGGGGCTGAGTAAGTTAATTATGGTAATACACATAATGAAATACTCTTCTGCTATTAAAAATTATGTAGATGTCTAGGGAGAAAAGCAGATTATAGGAAAGCACATATAGTTCAAGTCATGTATCATTAAATCATTACATTTACTGAAACATTAACAATGATTATCTCCAAGTGGTAGGATTTTGGGTGATTGTTTTCAGAATTATCAGTTCTAACTAATTTTACAATGAAAATGTGTCATTGTAGAAATACAATAAAGCTACAGCAGAAGAAAAAAAACCTGCAAACCCGGATCCAGAAGTTTACTTGACAGTCACTAGAATGTTCTTCTGAAGCCAGTTCTTCTTTATGAGCCCGTGTCAGATTAGGAGCACACTGGGCGAGGGGGCTCCTAGAAGAACGAGGCCGGCAGGGCGCAGCCCAACGTACCTTTCGTGATGTACAAGTAGAAGAAGTCGCAGTACAGGATGGTCTGGACAACGCCGGCCACCACAGCAATGAGGTCGAAGAAGCCCTCGAAGTAGAAGCGCCAGATCCAGTTGACGAGGTACAGGGCGCGGTAGAGGCCCAGGAAGAACAGGTAGTGGGTGGTGATGGTCTCCGCCTCCCCGGTCTTGCTGATCATGAAGAGCTGTGGCAGGATAGCCACCGACTCCAGGTAGATGGAGAAGGTCCACAGAATCTGCCAGAGAAACAGCAGGTCTGGTCAGCATCCAGGGCCTGCCCTGGGTTCATGGGAAATACTCTGGCTTTACTGTGAAGCAGTCTAGGCATCCAAGCCCACAACAGAGTAGCTTTGCAATTTAATAAATCACAGAAACTTAAGCTACGTGTAGAGGCACAGACACTCCCAGTGACCAGCTGGGGAACCTGGGCATGTGTACCTCTGAATTTTCACTACCATGTCTCCCTAACGTCGCCTTCTTCTCTAATTTTCTGTGACCCTACCTGTGTGATGTCTCTCCTGGGCAAACTCACCCCACTCTGAATCCAGGGCCCCTCATCAACTCTGTTTTCTGCCAGGGTTGACAGTACTGATGGCTGGGTCCTTCCACTCCGTCACTGCTGTTTTTCCTCACCAACTGGTTTCCTTTCCAGACTATCTAAACTGTCTCACTATTATTCTTATTCTTTAGGCTTTTTTGGTGTGGTAAGTCAAAGGCGTAGGAAGTCAGAATTGTAATTACACAAACTCTCTGCCCAACACAGTACTTGATTCTCGCTGATGGAAGGAGGATATGTAAGTAGCCCCCTGGAGTGTTTTAAACGCGGGTACTCCCCGCACCTTCAGAAGACCACCATCAGTGTGGTAACTCAAGTCAACCCCAGGACGTTGAGGGCTGGACAGAGTGCTGAGGAGCAGGCCAGGGCACCATGCAGTCCACTCTTCCTGAGGATGAGGAGTCCTGCTTAAGGGGTTCACAGACACAGCATCAATGAGCTACACCCGTACAGGAAGAGGAAACACAAGCTGAGTGGGAGTGGGCAGAAGACCATGTGTTCAGACACTCGGGACAGGCACAGTGCTGCGTTCAGTATCACAGGACCCAAGTTTATTCTAAAGGAGAGTCAGCAGACACCCAAATGGGTGTCTAACCTGGGTGCTTAATTCCTTCCCACGATTTATTTACACCAAATAGTTTATGTTGCACCAGAAGCTTGTTGAACCAAAACAAACAAAACAGAACCACCGTAAGTTATCTGCAACCAGGTCTATTTCCCTAGGGAACCAGACATGACCACTAAAAAACCTCTGAACTAACCTCAAGAGGAGAGAAGTCATGATTGACTAGAAATGAGAGGCCTCCCACAGGGACCACCAGAAATTCCACTCGAAAGGTATCATGATTTCCATCATAGGTTGCCTTAAATTTCATGTAGATCAGGTACACTGTGGCATAGGAGCAGGCAATGTAGATGAGCTAAAAAAAGAAAAAACATTGGGTCATCAGTATTTTAACAGTTGTTCCAACTCTTTGTAGCTTTCTACATCATCCATATTATAAATATTTTTAAATTATAAATTTAAATATAGTAAAATTCACTTTTACAGGGGTATACAGTTCTGTAAGTCACATAACCACCAACACAATCCAGATGCAGACCAGTCCTATCACCCCCCCCAAACTCCCTCATGCTGCGCCTACATGGTCAAGGCTTTCCTCCAGGCCTAACTGCTGGCAATCACTGATGTGTTCTTGGTCCCTGAAGTTTTTGCCTTTTCTAGAATTCCATTCCACAAACGGAATTATACACTATGTCACCTTTAATACCAGCCTCTTTCAGTTAGCAGAACGACCTGAGATCCAACCGTATTGTTGTGTGGATTAAGAACCACTCCCCTCGTATTTCGAAGCAGCAGCCCATGTCTGGGTGCCACAGTTGTTGATCCATCCACCAATTAGAGGACAGGTGGGTTGTTTCCAGCTTGGGGGACGGTTGGATAGAGCTGCGGGGGACATCTGTGTGCAGGCTTTTGTGTGAGTATAAGTGTTACTTCTCTCAGGTAAATACCTGGATCGTATGTTAAGTATATGTTTAACTTTATAAGAAACTGCCAAAGAATGTATTTTTAATCTTATTCTAAACTATTAGATAGTATGTTTAGAAAAAAAGCAAACACGAACTTCAATGCAGTTCAAAACCAATGCACTTCCTTACAGCAGCACGATATTTCCCAGCTAGTGCTTTTCTTAAGATAAACGATGTAACTTATGTTAAACTTTGCAATGATGGTTTTAACTTATACGGTGTTACTTGAACACTCAGCATTCAGACTGTTGCTATGAAATTGTCTGGTAACATAAAAGCAAAATCAAAAGTTAGTGATAATTTGTAAAACATTGCTGCCTATGTGTTTGCACAGCAGTATAGCTGTTCAAGGGCGTACAATTAAGTTGTATGTTCTTTCACATTCAAAAGGTAAAACACTAAAAATATTTTCATCCAAACCTAAGGAAAAGTCTGATAGTCTGAAATTACACCAATTTTCAGACTGCAGAATTTTAGGCTCAAGAACCAAATAGTAGTTTGGTTCTAGTAAACAGACAACTGGGGTATCAGCTGCACTGACTTTTTAGAAAAGCCAACTTGCAAAACTTAACTGGGAAAATATTTGGGCAAAACAACTTAACAGGAAAATGAGGGCAATCACCAAGTCCTCATATGCTTGAAAACAAAACAAAACAAGGATACTAAACTGTCCCTGGCATCTTATCATAAAGTTATATTTGCAAATAAATAGTCAACAAAGTATGAAAATTGCTGGTCATACCCATAGACCGAAGAAGTAACACACACACACTCTCCACGCAAAATCAAGGAAGATTAACATACTGTGAGAGGAGTTCTCTACACATTCAAATATATGCATACACGTACATGAACAAAGTAACATGTCATCTACACTACAGACAAAATACACATACATCTACGAACAGGTCCCTCCCCAGCCCCCTCCTCCAGCCAGCCTGGATTTTCCATAAAGGCTGCAGCAGCCACTGGGGAAAGCAGCTACTTTCTCCTCTCACCAGTGATTGGCATTTAAAGTAAAAACTATGAGCACATAGGCCTTGGCTCTCATTCCCCTGATTTTAGGGACATTATGTTTGGAAGCTACAATTAAGCAAGCAAGGATTCCTCTAAAAGCTGGGTATCCCGAGGGGGACAGGAGGGGACTCTTGCTTACACACGTCTAATACCTGCAGGCTCAACTTGCCTGGACAACAAGCACAGACCTAAAACCATTTTTAAGTAAGCTAATTATTTCCTGATTACTAGGCTCCCATCACTTAGTAAGGAAGAATGGAATGATTATAGGTAACTCAAATCTGCTTCTTAGTAAAGACCGTGGGCTCAAATATTGCTTTGTCTACTTTGACCTGTGCTTATAAAAATGCTTTCGAACACAAAGCGCTGTGGGAGTTGTTTTAAATACCACACCAATGGCTTTAGCTTAAACATTACATCATTGGGTGCCAAAAACCAAGTGCCTACCACAGTATCCCGCATACAGGTGCTCGCTAAGCATCTGAGGAACGAATCAAGTCAGACACCCTTTATACACCCCGAGAGCCTGTACTTTCCCTTCACAGCACCTATTGCAAACTGCAGCTCCTCCCCATGCCCCGAGTGCTGCTCGCTGCTCACCCCACCCCAGCGGGCCCCGTGGTGTTCACCAAGTCTGAGTTCAATGATTGCGGGGAAGAACTGAGGTTGCCATAAGCGGGGAGCGTGCGCCGCCAGTGGTACACAAGATGCTGGCTGGAACGTGACATTTTGCATTTTGACAATCAGACATTTGTTTTCATGTCAATTAGGAGAAATATGACACCAAAGGTATTATGGATACTAAAGCTTAGACCAAGTTAAAAGGTTTAAAGAGCACATGATGTAAATTCTGTGCAGACACTGCTAAAGCACGACAGAAGCAGGATGTGTGGTGCAGTGGGGGGCCCTGGCTTCTGTTCTTTGTTCTGAACCGACTCGCTGGGTTTCCCAGACTCTATAATTTCCCACTGCATGAAAACATAATAGTCACCCCTCCGTCTCATAGGGTTTTCAAGAGCTTTAGAAGTTTACCATAGTCGAAGAACTTAAGATTAAGAAATCTCTAGGCGCAAATAACTTTAACAGATACTGCTTTGAAACAGAAAAAATATGCTTAATGATAACTATTTATTCTCAGTTACATGTACTAGGTGGTCTAAAAGTGCTTAAGTCAAGAACAGCATATTTAGACATTATTCTTGAAGATGTTTAATTAAGTGCACAGGTGACATAAATTTAACAGTTTCCATAGGTCTGTGGATTATGGATAAAATACGTTCCATTGGATGCCATACCATACCTTCATAGATGTGTTATATAATGAAATAAATGAAGTAAAAAGATCCAGGTAACGAGTTGTGAAGACCAGTGCAAACAGAAGCTGGCTTTTCCCAGAAATACCTACAGAAACAAAAGCAAAGTATTAGAAATGCTCGGAGAGCTCTGTGATTCTTGAGGACAACACGGTGCAGGGAGTGCAGGGACGTGGGACCAGGGGCCGAGGCTGATGTCCAGGACGACTCTGGGTGCATGAGAGCAGTTTCTGTTGTTCTTTCCCTCGACAGTCTTGAACATGACCGCCTGGGGAGGTTCTAACAGCTTTTCTGTCTCACTATGACGATGTCAGCACCAACATGCCAGGATGTGTATTGTTCAAATGAATATTAAATTTCTCAAATATGTCCCTCTAGACATAGAGAACATATTTTTTTAAATAAAAATCCTGCTGTTATTCAGTGTTGTAACTTGTCTGTTACCTTTAGCATCTACCCATTTTAAAAAACAGTATCTCATGGTGACAAATCTTTTGAGGGTGGAGCTGGAATCTAACTGGATTAAGGAGATGAGGGACCAAGTGGAGAGCACTGCTTCAGGGGAGAGTCTGAACAGTAATCCTCCAGGAACAGCAGTGTGGCCTCCCAGGGTGACTTCTTTTGTGAGAGAAGCGTTTACTTGGGTATGTTAAAATTTTTTACAATTCTACCTCTTAGATTCATCACACAACCAACCTCAGACTCACATAAAAATGCTCCTGGATGCTATGGCAACAAGAGGGTGGGAACCTGCTTGTCTTCCAAAGCAGCAGTCTGTCTTTTACTGTTTTAACATCTTAAAACTGCTTCTACCCCCAATCAGCAGCCCACCTTCTGAGCACTGTCATGGCACATGGAGCCTCAGCTGGGGAAGTCTAGAAGGTCACATAGAGTGCACCTGACATCTGCATTTGGCCAAATATTTATGTGACAAAAGACGTAAATTATGGGTTTCAGATGTTGGAGAAAGAGCGAATTCATTAAAGAAACTGAAACTTACTAGATGTCAGAACCCGCCCACCTTCATCTACATGGCAAACTTCACACCATTAGACATTTAAGCAAGCTTGGATTTAGCAGAAATGTCACTGCACCCAAATCATTAGCAGTATTTCCCCAGAAGGTGAAAATCACATTGCTTTACATGATATTTTTACACTGTTTTACAAAACAATTTTATAGCTTGTTGAAAGGCCTGGACCTAAGAATGTTACTTTCTATGTATGAGTATTTACAGTTCCAGCCTAGTCACAAAAATAGCTAAATAGAAACTGAAGAAAAAGTCGACTCTATCCTTCTAGATCCATCAACAGTAACCAATTTCAAGGACCAAAGGTAGAGATACAGACAGTAAGCCATCTCCTTTTAGTCTTTTCCCCAGTAAAGGGGAACTTTTTTTCTTATGAAAGATCAATATTCCAAAGGAGAAAACACGAGGCTGCCATTGACATAGAGAACATGGGAGAGAGAAGACAAAATGGGGAAAAAGGACAAGGAGCATGTGGGTCACATTTGATGTTTGTTGAAGACTTGAGAGAGAAATTTCCAGTTCATTTCCTATATGGTTCTTTCCAATATTTTAAATAAAAAAATTATAGGATACATATGGGCAAATCTTGTTGTAAAGAGTTTATTCTAATGGAACTTTGGAAGCCATGCAGATTTGAAGTCTGTCCTCATTTTCAGCATTTTTATTATCAAAAAGCAGGGACTATCATGTCACTTTTACCACTCCCCTTTGCGACCCAATTCACGTTTCACTTCCTCTGGGACCTCATCTTTGAAGACACCCTCCCCTGGTGCTGTTTATTCATTCAGCAAGTGCACAATGGGAAGTACTTCACGCCAGCTGCTGCCCTAGCTCCTGTTACAGCACTTATAAAACACACTGCGGTCATCTGGTTGCCTGGCTTCCTCTCCCCCAACCCCCATCACACTGGAGATGTCCAAAGGCCCGGGTCATGCCTTATTCCATTTTGTATTCGCTGTGCTGAGCACTGGGCCTGACACCCAGCAGGGCCCAGAAAATATGTGCTGAATGAATGAGCAAGTGGACAAAAGAAAATCTGATTCATTTTAGTTACATGTCATGGGGGTATATTCCCATTTTATGGTATTTTGGGGATAACACTTCCAAAGACTCTCCAAGTCATACTGTGTCTCTACGATTGTAAATAGGCAATGTGCTCTGGGCTCTGCCCTAATTCACCGCCAGGCAGAGGGTGGGGCAGAGCAGAAAGGGGCAGGCAGCGTGTGGCCAGCAGCCTGTCCCGTGGTGCAGGAGCTGCCATGCTGGAAATCTGAGGATGCTCACACAGTTCTGCCCTATGCTTCCTGGCCTGGGATCCCGATTAGCAGGTGGCAACATTTTCCCTTTAAAACAGAAAAACTGTTCTGTCTTCCCAAGAAGGCAGAGGTCCCAGCTGAAGACAGAAGGGGTAGGGGCAGGAATCTCCTTCAAGTGGGAATACTTGCCATGAAGCCAGAGGGGCTCTCACAGTCAGTTTCTCCCTGGGTTGAGACCAAAGCAGGCGGAGGCCATCAGGTAACAAGTGCTCAATGTTTCTGAAACAGCCATCTCAACTCTAAATGCACCAAATATCCGTACTATGGAGTATAACTTGTTAAATGGAAACCAATCATTAAACTGAATCCCATTCCTGTCTTTTCCCACTGGGCCAAGTTTAATAAAAAGCTACAACTAAATAGTCCAGTGTATGTTAATTTAAGCTTCAAGTCAAAAGTTGCATTTCTCATATTCCCATTGGTTTACAGAACAGAGCCCTCAACCAAACAGAAAAGCCTTCCATAAATTATTTTTGTGCTGGCGACAGCTGGGATACAACCAAGCACTGCAGGTCAGACCGCCAGGGTAAAGGGCATGGCAGCCTTCGACAAGGCTCCTGCACACCATGCTCTGACCTGCTGTCTCGAAGGATCCAGGTACTCGCCTTTAGGAGACTATCAGAGGTCATGATTCGAGGTCATTAACTTACCCTCGAACCAGCAGCTCAAAAGTCAGGAACTGACTCAGAACACAGCTTTGTGCCTCGGGGAAAGAGAGGCTTTGGAGTCAGCAGGTCTGGATGCAAGCTCAGTCCCTGAAGGCACCAAGCAAACTAGGGCCCATTACATACTTGGTCCCCCTATACCTCACTTTCTGCATCTGTCAAATGGGGACAAATTATGCCGAATTGTGGGACTGTTGAAAAAAATGATTTTTACTAAACCTGCCCCACTGCAGGTGCTTGGTAAATGATAGCTCTATGTATTTCTTTACTATTTTTTCCTGTTTTCAGAGAAATCCATGCTATTTTATTAAAAATACCAATGTGCTAAAATATACGGAATAAAAATCAGAAGAATCTTGTTAACACCCCTCCCAACTCCATTTTAAGTGCAACTTAATGGGGCCATAACTCCTGCTTTACAATTTGCTTCTTTAACTTAATATCTCAGAGGTAGCTTCTGTTAGTACTTCTAGCTCCTTCTTTTTAATGGCTGCATAGTGCTCCAGTGTGAATGTGCCAACATTTGTGCGATATCTCTCTTAATGGACATTTGAGTCGTGTACAGTATTTGCTCTTATAAATACTGCATGAACATCTCTGTATCTATAAAGTGTTTTGTATTTAAGTACAACAAGTATCCTTAAACCTCAATATCACTTATTCACATATGTGACAATTTCTGTAGTTCAAACCCCCTAGAAGTAAACTATATGAACACTTTAAGTTTTGAAATATTGTCAAACTTCCCCTACATAGGCTGTGCCAATTTACATATTCACTAACACCAGACGAGAAAATACCCTTTACTTCACCCCTTTGCCTACATTAGTTGTTGTAAACCTCTGCCTTCTTCCCACCCAGCAGGCAAATGATGGGATGCACTGCTGTTTTAATACCCAAGTTCCTAAACACTAGTGAGGCTGGGCATTCTTTCATGCATAACTGGCCTTCTGTCATTCTTCCGTGAACTGCCAACTTTCCCCATTTTTTATCAGGTTAGTTTTTTTAATTTGTAGGAGTATTTTATTACAGATTATTAACCTCTTGTCACTTAGATATACTGCAGATTATTTCTCTCAGTTTATTGTCTCCTAACTTTGATGATTCTCTGAATAATTAAGTTAATTTGGAGAGATGTACTATCTTGCTTCCTCGCCAGCCTGCCCGGTCCTCTCCAGGACCATGGTCTGAACATACATTCAGGTCATCTTTTATGTCCATCAGCAAAATTACACATTTTCTTCATTGAGGTCTCATACTCTCCTTGTTGGGAAATCAGGAAAGCCTTCCTGAGATCTTTCTTGCCACATCACATATTGAATTTACTGCCTATATGGTCTGATACCCTATATTTTAATCTTTTTTATATATGGCTTATTATTTCAACTAAATTACAGCTTTCCTGAGAGCACAAACTTTGACAGCTACAAGATGCTGCTCTGAGCTGTGTCCCGAGTGTCCTGCACATAGTGAGTGGTCAGTAAGTGGGAAAAATGATTACTCAGGAGACTGGCACTCAAAAGAGCATAGGCGACAGCTGCTACAGAGAGAACGCAGAATGTGAGGCAAAAGCTTCCTGAAGTACCTGATGACAACCGAAGATGAGGTATTTTCCAAGTCCTTCAAAAATACAAGCTATCCAAAAAAAAAAAATCAAACTGTCCAATTACGAGAACTACAGGGACACAGCAGTTTGGTAGGATGTTTGGCAGGATGAAAAATCTGCAACTTACATGACAATAGCTAACAACAATCTAAGCACCAGGTGGAGGAGGGAAGGGAAGGACTAGGGGAGGACGGCTGGGAGCCTTGGGTCTCAGAAAAACTCCTCTGGTAGTTTAAGCACAATATACACAGTACTAATAACAACTGTCAGCCTACAGGAAAATGTAGACAGGAAATTTTTCATCAATACACCAACGCCTATTCTCCCAACACTACCCAGGTCAGTGTTTAGGGCGATAAAGTGATAACTTGCGCATCCTGTGGATCCAGCTGCCAGTCACAGCTCAGGAAGATGAGAAACTCACATTTCATTTGGGCACCCCTCTGTAATGACAATGGCAGACAGAAGAGAACACCAAGTCAGACTAAACCAAGATCAACTCCCCTGATCCTACTTTAAAATAAGTCCTTTAAGGCAGTTGCTCTTGAATTAGATGGTCAAGAAAACAGAATCTTCTTTACTAACCTGTCTCACCCCACACCTCAACATGAGAAAGCCCTGGTTCTGCAGCTGCACGCATGTTCAAAACAAGTGCCAAAACCCTAAAATGAACCCCAGCACCAGTATTTTCAAAGTGAGAAACACAACCTGAATGTACATGTCTCCAAATCTAGTTATTTGAGAATCTCATATCAAATTCTTACTCTTTCAAAAGTCTCTAGACAACTTTATAATTTAGGGTGGAAAAACAAAGTAGCTAGTCAAATTCTAAATTTAATTCTGAATGATGATCTTGGTGATTCTGATTTTGAAAAGGCTAGGAAATCGTACATAAAATGATCCTAAGTCTGATAACCAGAACAGTTTAATAACTGTTGGAATACCTGCAAACACAGACAAACTTAACTCACCTATTTGTCTTATTATTTTGGCTGAAGTATTTTGTATTTTCCTAAATCTCCCACATAAAAGTAATGAGTATTTAAAAACAAAGAAACAGTACCAAATCTTCTCACTTTCTCCTGTTACCCAAGGGTCCTTTAAGAATTCTATATCCAGCACGGCACTACCTTCTCCCCAACATCTTAATTTAGATACACGTTTAGGAGCTAGCATCCTTCAATGTTTAATGACTTGACAGAGGGGATTCTGAGAAACCTATGAAAAAAGATGAAGAGACTCATATAAAGCTTTTGGAGCAAAAATGAAGATTAAAAGTAACATTTTCTGGTGAGGGGTGGGCAAAATGGGTGAAGGTAATCAAAAGGTGCAAACTTCCAGTTAGAAGACAAATCCTGGGGATGTAATGTAAAGCATGGTGGCTGTAGTTAATAATACTGTACTGATATTTGAAAGTTGCTAGGGAATAGACTTTAAAAGTTCTCACAGTAAGGAAAAAAAATGTAAATATGGGTGGTGTTGGGTGTTAACTTAAGTTATTGTGGCAATCATTTTGCAATACATACATATAACAAATTTTTACATTGTACACCTAAAACTAATACAATGTTATATGTCAGTTATATCTCAATAAAGCAGGGGGAAATTTTTTTTCTGAGTGCAACAAAAAATGACCTAAACTACTGGCCTGGCATCCACTGTTTAAACCAAAATTACTTAGGCCAAATAGATACTTATTCAAATCCTTAAATGTGAGTTCCAGAACTGCCTGTATTCCAATCCTGGCTCCACCAATAATGTTCTCACCTCCCCGAGCCTCGGTTCCTGTACCCACAGCATGGGGACAAGAGCACTCATCTCCCAGGGTTATTTTAAGGACTACATGGGATGAGCCATTTAAGGCACTTAGCTCACTACCTGGTACACAGCAAGCGCTTAAATGTCAGCTATCACAATCGCTGAAATCACTTTGCTGTCACTGGAAGTCATACAACTGAACCTCTCAGAACTATGTATAAATTGAGAGATCACCTCCAAGCCAAACACACTGGTTTCAGTACATGGACTTTGTAACATCCATTTTGACTGCTCAAAGGTCTTTTTGGTTTTGCTTACTTCCTGGATCTCAGCTACATTCCAGGGAGATAGGTGAGGCCTGAAGACAGCAGCCAAAGATGTGGTGTGACTTTTAGAGGTGAAATTTTTTTTGGAAATCAATCAGGTAAGTAGAATCTCTGCCACGTACGTCCTTTGGGACTCCACCTTTTACTGTCTCTGCAAAAATTAAAGTTCTTTAATTCATCAAACGTTGTCACACTGAGGCCACACTATCAAAAATACATGTGTAAGGAAGACATTGTATTTTGAGAAATCATTTCAAAATTCGCCATTCTTAAGCTTTTAGGGTTGATGAAATGTATAACTCTACAACTACTGTCTGGGAAAGATTTGTCTCACTGCCTCCCAGCAATGTGTGCATGAAATGTGCACTCCCGAGGAGGGAGTCGCCAACTCACTGGTGACGTGGAGGGAGGAATTACAGGAGGCCACATGAGACCTCGGCGGTACCCGGCGCCGCGCCGCAGGTTTGAGAACCCGTTATTAGATGGAGGCACTCAGAGTCTGACAAACTAGTTTGTTCCTCAAAGCAGCATTAACTGCCCCCAAGAAATTCGCTTAGAGACCTCCCCATACCCCCTCCTGTGGTGGGTGTGATCCTGGTCCCGAGAGCTGCGGTGAAGCCCACAGGACTCTAGGAACAGGCCTGCCCCGACACCCTAACCTAGAGGCCAGTCCTCGAAGGGGCGGGGTGGGGAGCGGGGTGACCTCTCCCCGCCCGCGCCCCACCTCCCGGGCTGGGTAGGCTGCCACGTCAGGCCAAGCCGCCGCGATCCTGCCCATCCTCCGGCGCATCCCACTGATTCCCGGGCTCCCCGCACCTCGGGACCCCCCGCCCAGGCGCGCAGGGAAGCGCCCACAGAAGCCGAGGGCGGGGGGCGCGCCTGCCGGGCCCCCGCCCCCATGCAAACTTTTCAGATAGAACAAGGCCCCGCGCTGTCCAGTTGGCGCCTCCCCGCCCCGACCGCTCAAGTTCGGGGGCCGACCAAGTGCTGAGCGGGGCCCAGAGCAGTGACACCTCGCCCCGGCCTAGGCTCCCCACGAGTGCGGCCGCCCGCCAGGCCGGCCGAGGGGGTGTGTCGGGCCGGCGCAGGCCGGCGGGCCGCAGGGCGGCCGAGGTCGCCGGGTCCTCCCAGCGACCCGGCCCCGCGCCCGGGCCTCGCCCGGGCCTCGCCCGCCGCTCACCAGCGCAGGAGCGCGTCTTCCAGATCTTCAGCAGCAGGATGACGATGGCCGCCAGGTGGGACAGGTCCCCCGTCAGCCGGAAGATGTTCATGGCGGCGGCGGTCGGCGCGGCGGCCCCACGCTCGGCGGCTCAGGCAGCTGCGGCGGCCCCTGAGAAGAAGCGGCGAAGATGGCGAGAGCGGGCGCGACGTGGCCAGGGACGTGGCCGAACTGCCGGCGCGCGCGCGGGGCAGCTTGGGAGAGCGGGCACTCGCCTGGCCCCGCCCCGGCCCCGCCCCTTAAAGGGGACGCGCCGGAGCGAAGGCCGGGCGGGAGCGCAGTTTCCGGGGCTGCCTCCCCAGGACCCCGACTCCTTGCCAACTTCCCCCTACCGGTTTCCGGCTTCCCCTCGGGTGCCAGCGAGTTCCTTTAATTTTTAAAATGACACTCCCTCGTGGGGGATTCTCCCCCTCCCACTGATCTTATGAGCCGTATAGTCTTACTGTATGAAAAAGTAGGAGGGGGGGAAATTTAATCCGTGATTGCATCACTCAAGATAAGGTGGATAATTGGGGGCGTAAGGGAGGGTGCAGCTTATGCGAGGGTCTGAAGATTTTACCAGTCTGGGGACTCTCTTTGGGAAAGAATGCAAAATTAGAAAACGAACATTTCTGTAGGATGTGAAAACAAATCACAAATTACTAACGGAATGAACCTGACAGACAGGATATGCGGCATAATTTGCGGGGCCCGGCGCCAAATAAAAGTGTGAGATCTTTTGTTCAAAAACAGGGGGAAAAGTTCTACTAAAGGTACTGAAATATAAAGCTTTTCTCTTCACTTGGCAGTCTCTCTCAACTTGTTTCCTGTTTACTATATAATGTCTTTCTAGGTAAAGAAAAAATAAAATTTTAAGTTATGAATTTTACCATTTGTCTTTATATTGGGCAATGTTACTGTTGAATGCAAATATCAGAGCGTTTAACATGGATGCAAAATTGCTGAAAGTGTAATTTGTATTTCATGGCTTGTCCGTGGAGGGTGCCTGGAGTTGGCCAGAAGAGATGAACAGAGGCCAGATCCAGTAAATTAGGAAGGAGGAAGAAGGGGTACTTCAGGAACAGTGCAGGCCAAGGGAGCACACCTTTAGGCATGGGATGACGGATGGACCAGTGATATCGCTCCAGTGAGCCAGGATCCACCCTGGACTTGGCTGGAGTACCAACATGGACCTGGTGGCTGCTGATTCCCTCTCTCTCCAGCTGACCCTGCTAGGGTAGGGAAGTCAAACCAGGCACCTTTCCTCTGCATGCTCTCCCACAGCAGTAACCCACAGTAGAGGGCAACCCTCAAGGATATTGGAACCTTGGTGCCAGGACACACAAGGTACCTCGATCGGGGTGACTGAGAGGCATGCCCCTGCCAGGTTGACCACTATATGGTGGGATGACCATCACCATGTCTTGCTTAGAGACACCACAGAGCACACGAGTTCAACTCCACCCACTCTGACCTACACAACACCTGCACCTGCACCCAGACTCCCATGTAAGCAGAGGATGCAGTGGTCATGGGGCAGGAGCAGAGAGAAGGAAGTCAGGCTGCCAGAGCACAGGGGAGCAGACAGCAGAGAATCCCTCCTAAGGAAGCAAGGAGGCAGTAAGAGTGGAACCACGCTTGAGCCAAGACTGGAAGTCTCCGTTGCACACTCCATTGTCTCACTGGACCTCACTTGCAAAACAGAAATTCAAAGAAAAATTATTAAGTTTGAAGAAGGCGGCAGTAGAGCATTACACCTTGATTATGTGGTCTTCCGTCCCTGTGAAAATGCGTGACATCAGCCTTGCTGACAGATACCACAAACCACACAAAATTCTGAAAGTGACAAAATGTTTTCATTAATGAACTACCTCGCACACTTCTGTAAAACTCTTTTCCCTACATTTTTTTCACTGTACACTCTTTGGTCACCTCTTCATATGACAATGATTTTTTTGTGTGTCTGTGTGTTGGGATTAACAACTTTAATAACGCAGAACCTCATCTTTTTTCTATTTTTATTGAGATATAATTGACATATAACATTGTATTAGTTTCATGTGTACAATGTAATGATTTAATATTTATGTGTATTGCAAAATGATCACCACAACAAGTCTAGTTAACACCCCTCACCACACATAGTTACACTATTTTTTCTTGTGATGAGAACTTTTAAGATCTACTGTCTTAGCAACCTTTGACACCTCCAGTACAGGCTGCTGCAGGACATGTCTGTGTCATGATCTGACATCTGGCCTTGCACCTGCCCCAGATGAGCTGGCACAGGTCTTCCTGGAAGCCATTCGTACATTGGGACAGTGAGCCTTCACGTAACTGTACGTGGACAAGATTGTGAACCCTAATAACATATCCCACTAAACCTAAACCTAAATCGAATCCTATCCTCAATGCAACTGCCTCTTAGCTAGCCCACAAAAATGCCCATGGCCTCTCCATTAACACTTAGAATGAGAATGAGGGAGAAGTAGAGTGGAGTCAGTGATCTTAACCAACGTGGTTCAAAATTTGCAATAGCACATGACCCTGGGAATGCATTGTAGGAGCCCTTATCAGGGCCTTGGAAGTAGCTCGTGCAAGTGAGGGGCCTTGGAGCTTAAGATTCATTCACTTCATGATAAATAGACTGCTAGGGTGTACTTTGAACCATCATTTAAATATATGTATCATATATATATATACACACATATATAGTATAAAACAATGTAAAATTACACCTTATTTTTAAATAATTAAAAAATTATAGCTTAGTGGTAGATTGTGTGCTTAGCATGCTCAAAGTCCTGGGTTCAATCCTCAGTACTGCCATTAAATAAATAAATAAATAAACAAACAAACAAACAAAAACCTAATCACCTTCCTCCCTCCAAATTAAAAAAAATTATAACAATTTTTCCTCATCACTAATTCTTTCTAAACACCATCATCCATCCTTTCCATGGTATTTCTTAAACTTTTAAAAATATCCTTTTTACAGTAAAAAAGAACCCATGCTCATTGTAGGAAATATGAAAATATAAAAAGGTAAAAATAAGGGGGGGTAAAGTCACCCATGAGTCCAAACTCTAGCGCTGAAAATCAGAGCAGATGTGGGGCTTCCCCACCATGATTCCCCAAGGGGAGATCTGGAGTTGCAGGGTCTTGCTGATTACGGGGCAAGATGGAGGAGGATTTGAACAATGTCTGAATTGGGGTATCAGCAAATACAGACTTGTCTGGGGAGTCTGGAGGGGAAGCAATGGAAGCCCAGCTCCAGACAGTCCTGTGAGCCCATGAGGGGACCCCCTGTACGTGGAGAGTGAGGACGGAGTGGCTGGGACTCGAACAGCCTGTCCCTGGTTATTGTGCTGGAAGGGCTGGGCTGAGGGCCTGGGACAGCTGCACCACTGTAGTCTGTAATTGGGGTTCTAGACATCTGGCTCTGGGGTTGCTTTGAAGGCGCAAAAGCTGGGGAAGGGGTGAAGAAAGAAAATCTCCACCTCTTTCCTTCAAATAGACTGCCAAGGAGGGTGTCCATGTGAGGTCGCCCCCACGAGCCCCACCACCTGTTCTGCACTTGCTGGTGTAGTCCTCCCCTGCTCTGAGTCTGGGCTGGGCCTGTGACTCACTTTAACCCACTGAATGAAGCAGAAGTGATGCTGTGCTGGCTTGGGGCCTGGTCTTTAAGAGGATTGAAAGTTTCTGCTCCTTTTCTTTTTAGAAATGTGCTTTGGAGAGCCTGAAACATCCCAGGAGGAATCTGGCTCCCTGCTGGGGAGGAAGGCATATGGGGAAAGACCTATGTAACAGCACTGACATATAGGGAAGAAAGGGAGGATATTCTCAAAAGCCAGGAATGACAAGAGGGCAGGTATCTGGAGAGGAAAAGAGCCCTGGATCCAGAGTCAACCCTGGGGGCTTCTGTTGATGACTTGTGGTTTAAAAGGACACAGGGGGAAACTCTGTGCAAGATGGGAGAGGTATAGTGTTGGAGACTTGCACATAAAGTAGGACCCTCCAGAGGTGACACCCTCAGTAAGAAAACTAGGGGGGAAATCACATAGAGAGGGACTTGTCTTAGCCTTGGACCTGGGTGGAAGGCACAAAAAGAAAAAATCTCCCCTGAGAATTCTTAGCAAACCCCATCCTCATATGAACATGAGTTTATGGCTGGAATTCATAGTACCCATGTGGCCTCCAAATACCTGTCAAGAGAAATGCACTTTAAACCCAGACTTTAAAGAATTGCCACAAGTAAGGTTTCAAGAATAAGAGTTCCCAGTAAAACATTACCAAAAAAACAAAAAAAAAAAAAAGGAAAAGCTACTGTGAAAAAGAAACAGCAAAAATAAGAAAGTGCACTATTGCACCTGCAAAACTTCATTTATTGAAATTGTCAGCCACAGAATATAAAATAATGTGTGTAGCATGTTTAAATAGATAAAAAGAGAGAAGAAATAGGAATGCCAAGCAAGGGGCTTTCGAAAACGATCAGGCATATTTGAAAAAGAACCAAATAGAACTTTTGTAAATGAAAATCATGATAACTGACACTAGAAATTTAATAGGTGAATTGAACAGAGATTAAATGCAGCTAAAGAGAAAATTAGTGGACTTGAAGTTAGATATGGAGAAATTAAATAAATTTGGCACCATGAGAAAGAGATAGAAAACCCAAAAGACAGGGTTTGAAAGAGAGGGTTAAGAGATATAGAGAATAGAGTAAGTAAGAAAGAAATATGTCTAATTGGAGTTTCAGAAGGAAGGGAAAAATGAAGAGAAAGGGAGAGAAGCAATATTCAAGAAGATAATGACTGCAAATTTTCCAAAACTGATAAAATATCTCAATTTTCCAATGCAGGAACCCCAGTGTATTTCAAGTGAGACAAAGAAAGTGAAAACCCTCAGTGCAATCCCTATCAAAATACTAATGCCATTTATCACAGAACTAGAACAAATACTTTTAAAATCTGTATGGAAACACAGATGACCCCAATCTTGAGAAAGAACAGAGCTTGAGGAATCACGCTCCCTGACTTCAGACTATCCTACAAAGCTACAAAACACTACAGTACTGGAATAAAAACAGACACGTAGATCAATGGAACAGGACAGAGAGCATAGAAATAAACCCACACACTTATGGCAAATTAATTTCTGACAAAGGAGGAAAGACTCTACAGTGGAGAAAAGACAGTCTTCAATAA